GTATATATCTTATCAAATTTAACATATACGTATTCATTGCATCTTAAATTATATTCGTGTCAAACAAAAATTAAAAATGTTAGAGAACTGTGTTACATTACATATTATGTATTAGATCAAATGTTGTGACGTTTCGTTCAATAATGGAATGAGAGGCAACTATTACGATAACATAAGTTTTAAAATCAATCTGACAATCTATGTACAAGTTACAAGATATTCAAAGCAAATATATATTTAGTATTAAAAAGTGAGTGTACACACGGTATATAATATGAACGGCTAAGCTCCAATTAAGAAATAACTTATCGTGACGTTAACTGACATTGCTTCAATTTCATTCAATTTACATGTAAATTCCATGTTTGCAAACTCTGGCTGGAAGAAATGATGATGGGAAAGGACATTGAATGAATTCTTAGAACTGTAGTTGCCAGCAATAAATTAAACATAAAATGTTACATGAATTTTTCACGAGTTGAGTATAATATACTCAAGTGTTCATCTCGTCAATTCCATGTAAACATTGAGACACGATTGATACAAATCGTGACAGTTTAAATATTTTCATGTTCGTTTATATTTCCATATATTGAATATCTTATAATTATACATATATAAATTACAAATGTTCAATACAAGTATAAACTATCACAAAAATATTTGAAACGGTCACGATCCATATCGATGTTTCTCGACACGTTTTGAAATTGCAAGTCATTCTATTCTCGATTTTGATCAGCTGATGTAACAACCACCTTTGAATACATATAAACACGCGTGAACACGCAGTTTTCATGTAAGGCAATGAAACTCATGAATCATCGTCATTATTTCATCATCCGTCTCTCAAGTCGCATAACAAGGCAAAGATATTTACCTCGTTCGTACATACATAGTAACGTCACGCGTTGTTCCATTGCTACTGAAACAGCCGTCGTTCCATTATCTGCAGAGAAAATCTAATCGAACCGTCGTTCCATTATCTACACAGAAAATCTAATCTCACGCGAGTATATAATGCGAGTATATAATACATACTTGATATTAGTAGATATAAGTACAGTGACACAGCATCAAATAAATCGCGGAGCAGAAAAATGATCCGACCAGTGTTTCTCGTCAAAGTTCAGTGTTCACACTTTACAATTAGATGCCGGAATTAGCAAGAAATTAACATTAAATTATTTAAAAAAAAAATAGATCAACGTTAAATCAAATATTCTGATTTAGAAATAATCGAAGAGCAATTGAAGAAAAGATACTAGCTCCGATCTGCAGACAAATACTCTGAAAGTGTTCGTCGATCGAGCCATCGAGCGTTGATTGGAAGAAACTGAAAGGAGAAAGTAAAAAGTAAATTTTATAAAAAGTCGTCACGATGAAACTTTTCCTACCGATATTTCTGACGATATTGGCGTGTGGTTGGTGCAACGGTCTACGAATTCTTGGCATATTTCCACTGAATGGAAAGAGCCATTGGACCATGGCAGAACGACTGATGACGAGCCTGGCAGAACGAGGCCATCAAGTGGATATTGTTACTCAATTCCCAATGAAGAAACCGCCACCGAATTATAACCAAATTTCTTTGCAAGGGACCTTGCCGGTGGTGGTAAATAACATGGACGCGAGCAATGTGACAGCGTTTAGTAGAGTCGATATAAAAGCCCTAATGGATGTGGCAGGCACTCAAATATGCGAATTGATGTCGCACAAACAGTTCCAAGATCTTTTAAAAAAGCCTAAGGACTACGATCTTATCATAATGGAGGTATTTCATTTTATTTTATTTTATTTCATTATATATATTTCATATACTTGCATTTCATTTCGAAGCACTCTTGCTCCCACTCTTGGCATTTCTGGGAAATTTAATGTGAAATTTGCTTTGAAACTTTGGTCTGCTTAATACACCAGATAGAAATCGCGAAGTTCGTTATCTCAGATCTTTATTAGTCTCTTGTTTTGCTTAATGAACGAGATAAGAGTGGGTATTGCAAACATGATCTTGTGTGACTAGTATTTCTAGTTATGACAAAGTGAATGTATACTTCAAGTTACATGAAATGTTGCGTAAGGGAATATAATGACAAGATACGTTAACGAAGCGAATGCGCGATGCTGAAGTGTCAATTTATTTCATTATCGTTTCACGTTCGAGTAACGTGATAAGCTACAATAGCACTAAATACGACGCAATAATACACATTTATGTTTATAAAATTCTGTATTACAGTCACGTATTTATTTCTTATAAAAATTCAGCTATTTCACATCTCTCTCAATTAGCAAATTCTTGAATCTTATTACTTTTTAATTGAGGAAAAAATTAACCTGACTAGTTTTTTAGTTTATTCAGACAATCTTCCTTTTCTTTATGAGATATAATATTATGCAATTCCTTCACGCTCGTATTCAAATGTAACACGCTTTGTTGCACACATTTATCTATACTTCTGTCAGAAGCTAATTCAGAATACGCATTGCACGCATTACTATAATCATATTTTCGAGCTACTGTTGTTGATTTGTCCAAGAAATATCGACTCATTAAAATACAAAATATATTTACGTCCATTAATGTGTCTTCCGTGTATTTATCGTTGAGTATATTGAGCATGTCATAACTGAGATCTTCAAAATAAATAACAAATAGACTCTGATAATTTGAAATACACAAAACGTTCATTAGCAACATTTCAAGTCTCTCACGGCAGATTCGATCATTACGTATTTCGCTCGAAGGACATAACTTGCAATTTTTATCATGATGATTAATTTCATGATTTGTAGAAGCAATTGAATAACGCGATTCCATTAGAATGACAATTAAATCTTTCTGAGTGATATTTCTAAAATAATATTAAATTTTCTGACGTGCAAAATAACGCTCTACAAAGCAGTATTCAAAGATTTAGGAAACTTACGATGATATACAAGTTCGACTGAAATCTAACTTCAAAAGAATCAAACTCAATCTCGAGTCTGAAGATTTATATTTAAAGGCAATAATCTTAATGCTTGCGCAACCAATTCGAAGATGAATCGCGCAGAATTAAAAAACCAAAAAAAAAAAA